TCACCAAATCACCCATGTGCCATCACCATAGTCCAGTGCACTTCCCTCCCCCCACTGTTTTTGATCCCATTCCTCATTCCACCCCCGTAAAATGTCTCTGGTATATAGTATTCATTATTATTATTTTCTCCCCTGGTCTTTTATACTCTTGCTATGAGTGAAACCATCTGGTGTTTTCCCCTTTCTTTCTGACTTATTTCACTAAGCATCATCTTTTCCAGCTCTAACCAGTTGCTGCAAAAGGCATGTGTTTATCTTTTTTATTGCTGAGTAATATTCCATTGTGTATATGCACCACCTCTTTTTAATCCAGTCAGCTACTTTTGGGCATTTAGGTTGTTTCCATGTCTTTCCATTTGTAAATAAAGCAGCAATAAACATGGGTGCAGGTGTCTTTTTGAATCAGTGTTTTTGTGTCTTTGGGTAGATACCTAGGAGTGGGATTGCTCATCAGCCCTTTTGATGGTAAGATAATAGTATTTGACCTTATTTTACAGGTGAAGCAATAGAAGTAGAGATTAAGTAACTTGTTTGGGACTACACAGCCAATGAGACAAAACCACCAAGTTTCAAACTGCATTATCCAGCTTCAAATCCATACTTTTTTTTTTTTTTTTAGTAAAGATGTATTGATGTATGCATATAAGAACTGGGATATAGTACAGGCCAGAGGTCCTGAAGGTGAGAGGATCTACCAGAGACAGAGTGAGGAACAGAATAGGCAGATGTACTGAAACACACTGAGGGGAGCAGTGGGTGAGACAGGAGAGGTCTGCCACACCATGTGGGTCACCTCCCTGGCTGGGGATCAAACTCATGCCACATGAGTACGAAGCTACCAGGGCAGGCCTACAAGCAGCTTTTCTGTAATTTTTTTTCTGCAACCATCTCCATACGTGAGATTTCAGGGTTAACCTTATGTACAAATACAGTCAGTGAAGTCATTTATTCACAGCTTCTGCCATTCCAGAGACTTGCTTTTATATCTCCACCTCTCACTCCCTTCCCCCTCATCATTCTTCCTTTATTAAATCTTGTATTTTGGTAGTTTCCCCCATGTCCCTCTTTCTCTTTCATCCATAGTTCGTTCACTAAATCCTCTCTATAACCAGCGACCTCTTTTTCATCCTTAGTTTATATTGGCCATGTTTTTCTTTTAAAACCATTTATAAGAGGCTGTGTGAGTTGAGCTTGAAATTAGTGAATTGAGGGTAGAGAAGATGGATCCTGGGTAGGCCACTTCTTCATAAAAAATATGTTCACTTCTTCCTTGGCTTAATATCCGAAGAATGAAGTGATGGAGAGTCATCAGTTTGCCTTTCATACTTATCTCCTGAAAACATTTCCAGTGGCATGTGATAATCATTGTAACAAATATACTAACCTGACCTCTTTCATCCTGACAGGAGCTTGTTTTCCTATCCACTATTTGTGGCATCATCAAAAAGCCTTCCAGTCTGCCTCTTAATGTTGGGGTGCTTTCAACTTTTCTTTCAAAAACTTAGAGACTTTCCTTACTATTATGTAGCTTAGAGATTTTCCCTTGTTATCAAGTGCTTTGTATTCTATCACAGATGGCTTATTTTATGAAACTTTTCATCCTGTAAATGTAACTCCTGAGAACATCATCAGACTATATGTGAAGAACATGGAGTTCTATAGAAGGAAGGTGTTAAGTACATTTGCTTTTTAAATTAATTATCATCATAGCAGTATGTTATTGTGTTGCTTTTTTGGGAGAATTAAGATAATATCACTTCAAAATAAAATTTTGAGATATTGCCGTGGTCATAATGTATTTTTTTTTTTTAATTAGAATAGTTTATTTGTTGGATCTCCCTGACCTACTTAGTGACCTGGTAGTCCCATACTGTTTTGTAGCTCCAGATTTTCTTTTTAAAAGGAATCACAATTTATTTCTATTTTGCAGGAGTTGACTTTTTCATGAAATAAATCACTGTTTCATAAATCACTGTTTTCATGAGTTTTAACAGCATTACTAAATTAAATTTTTACATACTACAATATGCACCCAGACAGATTATAAAATGCAACTTTTATTTAATTGATTTTCAGAACTGTACAACCATCAAAAAAATCTAGTTCAAGAAGTTTTATGTCACCCTGAAAAAGCCCCATTGAACCTATTTACAACAATCCCTGCTCCCTCCTTTTTAGCCCTATAGAACCTCTTACTTGCTTTCTGTTTCTATTTGTCTTTTCTGGACATTTGCTATCAGTGAAAAGTGATCTTTTGTCTGGTTTCTTTCACTTAGCAAAATGTTCTTGAGAAGCGCATTATCAGTAAACTGTTGCTTTTTATTTTTGAACAGTATTTCATTGTATGGACATACCACATTTGTCAGTTCACTAGTTGATGGACATCTGCAATATTTCCTTTGTAAATATGGTATAAATAATGTTGTTGTGAACATCCATGGTGTTTTTGATATGTATTTTTACTTTACTTGGGTAGATTCCTAGGAGTGAAATTTTGATTTGTATGGTAGGTTTACATTAAACTTTTTTTATTTTTAAAGATCTACTTATTTATGCATACAGAACTCGGGTACAGGCCAGAGGTGCAGGGGCAGTGAGAGGATTCACCAGAGACAGAGCAGGGAGCAGAACAGGGTGACTGAC